GTGAGAATTCCTGGATTCACTGAAAAGATCATCCATGCGCGATTAGAGAAGGACCCTGGGTGCTGCGTTGGATTAGTACAGTCATGTGAGGAATCCCCCAGCAAGCTGTTACTTGCCCGAGCTTTAGTGACCACCGAACGAGACATTCCTGTGAGGGTAGCAAATGTGTTACCTACCACCATAACAGTAAGGGAAGGAGACATCATCGGAGCTTGTGAACCAGTCAGTTGGGTAGCAAAATGTGATGAGACTAACGAGCAGAGATGGAGGGAACGAGATGACAGTGCATTGAGAGTTCTTGAAACCTCCTTGGACCACTTATCACCAACGGAATATAAAGCTGCCAAGAAATTCATAGCAGACGAAAGTGATATCTTTGAATCAACATCAACAGGGCGGACGAACTTGGTCAAGCACAGAATAGATACTGGTAAAGCTCACCCAATTCGGCAACCACCAAGAAGAATGCCGTTTGCTAAGCAACAGGAGGTGGAACAGCTGGTTGACAAAATGATGAAGGATGGGGTAATTGAAGAATCATCCAGCCCTTGATCTGCACCGGTTGTATTAGTGTCCAAGAAGGATGGATCCACAAGATTCTGTGTGGATTATAGGAAGCTCAATGACGTCACCAAGAAGGATAGCTACCCGTTACCAAGGATTGATGACACTTTGACTACATTGGCTGGCTCCCGATGGTTTTCGACACTGGACTTGAAGAGCGGATACTGGCAAGTGGGCATTCACGAAGAAGATAAGGAGAAGACTGCTTTTACGACTGGTAATGGACTGTACCAGTTTACTGTGATGCCTTTTGGACTATGTAATGCCCCAGCAACCTTCGAAAGGCTGATGGAATTGGTACTGCGTGGGCTCACTTGGAAAACTTGCCTGGTATATCTGGACGATGTTTTGGTCATGGAAAAGAATTTCGAGGAACACCTGAAGAACTTACGGGAAGTGTTCCAGCGATTCAGGAATGCCAACCTCAAACTGAACCTGAAGAAATGTTCACTAGTCCAGAAACGAGTAGATTTCTTGGGCCACACGGTAACGTCAGAAGGAATACAAACTGACGAGACAAAGATTCAAGCCATTCGAGACTGGCCAAGACCGAAGGACAAACATGAAGTTAGAAGTTTCTTGGGATTGTGCACTTACTACCGTCGTTTTGTGTAAGGATTTGCTGATATTGCGGCACCACTCCATAGATTGACAGAAGAACGAGTCAACTTCAACTGGTCTGTAGAATGTGAGAAATCCTTCAAGAAATTGAAGGCTGGCCTCTGTTCGAGTCCTATTTTGGGGTTCCCACAAGAGAGATGCTTGTTTATTTTGGACACAGACGCGAGTAACATCGGAATTGGAGCCGTGCTATCACAAGTACAGGATGGTCAAGAAAAGGTTATAGAATACTACAGCAAAGTGATGGCCAAACCAGAAAGGAATTATTGTGTCAACAGGAAAGAACTGCTGGCAATTGTTAAGGCTGTTGACCATTTCCACAAATATTTATACGGAAGAGAATTTCTCATTAGGACGGATCATGCAGCTTTGAGGGGGCTGATGGAGATGAAGAATCCTGAAGGTCAAATAGCAAGATGGCTGGAAAAGCTGAACCAGTATCACTTCAAGATTAAGCATCGCCCAGAAAAACTACACCAGAATGCAGATGCCATGTCCAGAAGACCTTGTTCGGAAACCTGTAAGCATTGTCTGCGCATTGAACATCGAGAAGGAACCGGTGATGTTAGAAAAACCAGACTTGTGACCGATGATAAGTGGACAGCAGCACACATGAGACGAGATCAGGAAAACGATCCGAATATCGCCGATTTTCTACGTTGGAAAGAAAGAGGAACAGAAAGACCGACATGGAAGGATATCTCGGAAAGAGGGCCTGCTTTCAAGGCGATGTGGGCACAATGGGACTCACTAGTTGTGGAGAATGGATTATTGAAGCGAGTTTGGGAATCAGCTGATGGTAGATCAGCAATTTCTCAGCTGGTTGTGCCCCACATCAGAGTTAATGAAGTTCTGGAAGAAGTCCATGGCGGAAAATCTGGTGGACATTTTGGAGTTAACAAGACATTGAGTAAAATTCGAGAAAGATTTTACTGGGTGCAATGTCGTGACGACGTGGAAAGTTGGTGTAGAAGATGTCCTGTATGCGAAGCCAGTAAAGGTCCCAGAACGAGATCAAGAGCTGGAATGAAGGTCCCAGAACGAGATCAAGAGCTGGAATGAAGCAATACAATGTGGGTGCACCGTTTGAAAGGATCGCCATCGATGTAGCCAGACCATTCCCTTTGACTGATGATGGAAATAAATACATCTTGGTTGCTATGGACTACTTCAGTAAGTGGGTAGAAGCATACGGCATGCCAAACCAAGAAGCCTCCACAGTTGCCAGGATATTGGTCGACAACATGTTTTCACGGTTCGGAGTTCCAATGGAATTACATTCTGATCAAGGGAGAAATTTTGAGTCGAACTTATTCAAAAAGGTCTGTGATCTAATGGGAATCAGTAAGAAGAGAACAACTCCACTACATCCACAATCCGATGGCATGGTCGAAAGACTCAACCGAACTATGGAAGAACATCTTTCCAAAGTAGTCGAAGAGCATCAGAGGGACTGGGACAGGCATCTTCCCTTATTCCTGATGGCGTATAGAGCAGCTGTCCATGATTCAACGAAGCTAACTCCAGCTAGTATAGTCTTTGGAAGAGAACTCCGCTTACCTTGTGACTTGGTGTTCGGTTCACCAAGTGTTGAAGAAAAGGATGTACAAGACTACGCAGATGAGCTCCGGAATGGCTTGATGAAAACTCATGAGACTGCTCGGAAAAGATTGAAATTAGCAAGTGACAAAATGAAGGCACGGTACGATCTCAAAGCCAATTCAGAGGGATTCTTTGAAGGAGATCAAGTTTGGCTGTATAATCCTCGACGGAAGAAAGGCGTATCACCCAAATTAACACCATCTTGGGAAGGACCGTATAAGGTGTTGAAAAGGATCAATGATGTGGTCTATAGAATCCAACGCAGCCCTAGGACAAAGATGAAAGTCGTTCATCTTGAAAGACTGAAGCCTTATCATGGTGAGGAAAGTTCTGTTTTTGATCGGGACGATCAAATTTGAAGAAGGGGGTAAATGTTACGACCCTGGCGATCAATCCCAGCTACCTGCTAGGCAAGTAAATAAACCGTATTTCTTGGAATAGAAATCGACGGCTATTGAGATGACTCGAAAAGATTATCGACCTGTTCACGATATTTCGAGTGGAATCTAGACGTTTTATTAGGTAGTATAAATAGTTGTTGTTAGGGACAGGAAGAAAAGTCTTTATTTGGAAGCGTTATAATAACGATCGAAGAAGTGTTGTGAATCGGAAGTGTTTAGTACGAGTATTGTTATTATTGTATAGTAGTGTTCAGAATAAATCGTTTTAAGTGTTCTACCGAGTGTTAAATTATTACGGACCCAGAGTAAAATCGTAGCAATATTATTCTCAGCGCTTATTATTTCAATTACAGGAATTTTCTGATATTGAGAATGATATTTTTACCAACGGAAATGAATGTTACATTCTTTTCCCCACTAAATAATGACAGTTCACTGAAGCCACACTACCTTCTGATACTCAGCAATTTCAGCAGAATGTTGAATCGAAATATTTGGAATGAATAGTATGTCTGCTCACAAGCATCTGTCACTTTCAGGGATTTTTTTGATTTCGGAATGAAAAATCAGCAGATTCAGTACTGTCAGTTGAATTCGGAATATAGCCATTGTGTTTGACCGTTTCCGTTTGGGTACACTTCCCTCCCCTACCTGCCCTAGGGTTTACCAACTCCATAGTTGGTGGGGGTGGTTTGAGTTTAACTTGAATATTTGTTTATAATTATTGATGAATATGAAAAATTGGGGATATAATAGGAACATCCAAATTGAAAATGCATGGAGCGGATATTGAAGTGGAGATATATACACGAGTAAAACTGTGGTAGTGGGTAAATTGAAAGAAATAGGATTTCAAAAATAGTTAATGTTGACGTCATTATGACGTAGTTGCCTCCCACCACCTTCACCGGAATTCTCTAACCGGGTTTAACGGAGAATGTGAATGAAATATACCTAAGGGATATTTCATCAATGAACTGAATATAAACATTCATCAATGAACTGAATATAAACAACTGGAAGGGACCCTCTGTGAACGACCCTCTGCAAAAATATTTGTCAGGCAACCCGCAGTGTTTACAGATACCTATCTCTCTCTGGTCATGTTCCGATATTGCTGACAATACTGACCATTACTGACCACAGTTAGCAATGGGGGAGTGCCATCATTGTAGCCAACCTTAAAAAAAAATATGAAAGATGACTGTCTCTTTTGCAGCAATGATTTTGCCTTTGTTGTGTAGATTTTTCTGTAATCAGTATACTGTGAAATTTTCAGAAGTCATGAAAGCCTCAAATTTAAGTTATCCTCAAAATACCGACTTTCATAGGGAATTATTTGATGGTATGTTTTTACGTGTTTTCACTAAAAGATAACCGATTAAAACGATTGTCATATGTCATTTTCTATTTCGTTGTCTGTCAGATGTCTAATGAACTTCAAAGGTCAAACAATGTTAACCTTCAATCTCGCGTCTTTCATTCTCATTTCACTCCAGTCTGCTGTGTTTGATGTTTGAATTTTTTCTTGTTGTTGTTTTGAACTTTGAAGTGTATATCTCTGTCAGGTGTGATCAGTATATCCTAATAACCAATATTTTCGAGAAAAGGTAAGTGGTCACAACTACATGAGAAGATCTTCCTTTAATAAGTAATCAGTACTTTCATATTATTTTCAAGTTATTATCATTGGTACATGAACATATCCTTTTTCTGATATTTGATCAAGGAAGTCTTCAACTTTTTTCCTGCTCAGCCTATGTTCAGAAATAGGCCATTAGTTTAAATTATGTTATTGTTTCAGTGAAAAGTATGTCTTTGCTTCCTGGAGATGTTCCTGGAGCTGTTCTACAGGACAATGTGTCATTGGAAGATCATTCTGTTCTGGAACTTAAAAGGTGGCTAGAATGTAGAGGACTGAAAAAGCAGGGAACCAAAGAGGAGCTTATCAAAAGGTAGGCTATATATTTCTGGTTTTCTAACTTGCAGATTTTTCATTTATGTATTTGAAATTTTATTTTCAATTTTATTATTCTTACAACATATTTCATCTTTTCAGGATTCATAACTGTATACAGGCAGGAAATGAGTCCAAAATATTCCTTGGGATTGATGGAGGAAAATGGTATGATGCCAAAAGAAATCTTCAGCCTATTCAGCCAGGAACAAGCAATGCATATGACCAATGTACTTCTGATGATATATTTTGGGATAACTTTCCAAGCAGTACCATACCCCAATTTTTCAATAAGGGGCATATCTACACCTATATAATAGGTGAAAATATTGAAAATGAAGATCCTGAGGTGGAGGTTACTGAAGATAAAACATATACAACAGTTAAACCATTCAGGAGAGGCCATCAATATGTCAGTAGTCAACACATAAGTGAAGTCCAAGATGGATGTTCTGGAAATGCTTATGTGTGTAAATGCAAATGCTTATCATCATTCCAAAAAGCCATAAAATACAATGTAAGAGTGATGCTAAATAAGACCTCTGGAGCCATAATGAAGGGCATTTGTGAGTGCAAGCAATCTTCACTAGGCAAATGCAGCCATGTTACTGCACTTCTATTATTCATTTGGGAGCATGTGCAGAAATTTGGCTATGCTAAAATTGTGGGAACAAGCAAACCACGTGAATGGGGGCTTGGAACACAAAAACGCAGCCCTGGTGCCATCAAGGAGAAATCTTATCCAATCAAGAAATATAAAATGACCCAAAGATCAATATTTGATCCAAGACCAGCAACATATTTACGTAATCCTGATTTGAATCAGTTTATATCTGATTTACAGAAGACTGGCAACAATCCAATGTTCCTGTCAATTTTCAAATTGAAATATGAAGACTTTCAGTATGATGAGGATGAGCTTTCAATCATCAAACTTCAGGTGAAGTCATTTCTCCATACTATGAGACAATTTTCTCAGTCTTTTGAAACCAGATTGTTTGAGATTCCTGGAACATCACCCCAAGGCTCAGAAAAATGGCTTCAATGGAGGACACATTATATCACATCATCCAATGCAAAAATTGTTTGTTCCCTGCAGAGTGAAACAGCAAAAAAAAAATTTCTTCTGAAGAATCTCTGGAGGTTGAGCAACCCTGTATCCACTGTTGCAATGAGGTATGGGAAAGAAAATGAAGAAACTGCCAGGAATGAGTATGGGAAATATTTCTTGAAAAAAAAATCACAAAATTCTGGAAACTGGACTGGTAGTGAATCCAAAATTCCCATACTTTGCAACCAGTATTGATGGATATGTAGCAGAAGGACCAGAAGATGACATTCAACATTTGATTGAAATTAAGTGTCCAAAAGTATTGGAAAAATGTTCAAAATTGAATCAATTTGATACTCACCTAACAAAATCACAATTACAGAATTTTTTCCTGACAAAGATAGATGGTGAGATAAGTTTGAAAAGGAATCATCCTTATCTATATCAGATTATTTTCTCACTTCTCATTTTTCAAAGAAAACTATGTCATCTAGTTGTTTGGTCTCCCAAAGGAATGCTTGTGGTACCTGTTCATGTTATGAATTATTTAGACATAGTGGAACAGATTATAGAAAATGCAACTAAGTTTTATTGTCAAACATATGTACCTGAAATATTCACAATGAGAACTGTACGTGATTTGTGTCCAATAAGTATTGAAATTGATGAAGACTCAGATGATGATGAGTAATTCTTATATGTACTATTATGTACTGTGGATATGAATAAAATAAAAAGGAGATTTACAGTTTTATTTATAGTAGGTATAGTAAATACATGCATCAACAAACCAAGCAATCTTCAAAATTGACTAAGAAACATACTATGGTAAAAATATTGGAAATTATAGGCAACAATAGTACAGGACATTTTTTTGAAAGAATTCTATAAGACTTAATTCTACTAATGGCTCTTTCTACATGTACTCTAGATTTAGCAATTTTTTTAGTGATTATTTCTTCCTCAGCAGTTAATCTTTTACGTTTCTTGAGGAGTGGAGGAGTGAATAATTTGACATTCAGCTCATTTGTTAAGTCTTCTATCAAAAATCCTTTATCTGCCATTAGAACATCATTTTCTTGTAAAAATAATTTCAAATCACATTTTTCGAATAACTCTCTATCAGAAATTGCACCCTCAAATCCTTCACTGGCATATGTTATTGCACCACTTGGACAAATACCAACCAAAAATTTTATGGTATTTGAGTGTTTGTAACTAGAAAAAGTGTTACCCTGTTGTTGGAAATCAGATGGCATTTGTAAGGAAATTTCTGTAGCATCAATTATCAATGTTATATTATTTCCTTCAAAGTTTTTGAAACAAAGTGGGACTTGTTTTAAATTTCTGCCACCATGAAACATTTCTCCCCGCAAACCAATGATTTGATAATACATGAACTGGACCCAAGTGTAACATATTCTTGATAAATTACTTTTACTCATATTGCAAAAATAAGAAAGTTCATCTAAGGTGAATGCTCTTCTTAACCTAACTAAAGTTAAACATAAACAGTCTTTGTTTGATAAGTTCCTCTTCACATTCACTGGGGGCTCCTTCTTAACATAGTCTCCTGCAGTGTAAATGAGTTTATCCATCACTGAATCATCTAAAATATTGTAGAAGGCCTCAAACTGTGATAGTGTGAGACCAGTGAAATATTTGAAATATTTATCATTCTCTGCCAGGTTATCAAAAGAAAACTTGTTTTGTGGAGTCCTATGGGTTTGAGTGCCTTCTGTATGGGTTGGAGTGCCTTCTGTATGGGTTTGAGTGCCTTCTGTATGGGTTTGAGTGCCTTCTGATGGTTGTCTTGGCCCGCAGATCAAATGATCATGATCATGATCAGAATCATTCGCCCCGTTTTCATTTCCTTCAATTCCTTCTTCAGAAATCGGTGAGTTGCCAATAATATCCTTATTCAGGAGACTGTCTTCAGAAGCAGGAGAATAAGGAAGCGGATTAGAGTTTGTTGTAAATCTTCCAACAAAATGTTTACTACAAATAAAGGTATTCCTTGTAATATTGTCCACTGTTAACTTCTCATTGCCACATAGTTCTATCCATTGAATACACTTCACAATATTTGTCAATTTTTTTGGGAATGCACGAAATTTCAGTTTTTTGTTTTTACTGAATCTTGAATCATTTTTACAATTCTTATAAAAACATCTCATTTTTGAACCAAATATAATATTATAACTTTCAAGAACGAAATAATAAAATAAATAATAGTCAAACGCAATGAACTCAATATAAACACCGTCAAAAGAAAAGTGAAAAAAAATAGACATATGACTGACAACGGAATAGAAAATGACATGTGACAATGATTTTAATGGTTATTATTTGGTTGGTATATAGAATTGGTATCTTCCAGATAACTCAAATTTGTGGCTTTCGTGACTTCTGAAAATTTCACAGTATACTGATTGAAGAAAAATCTATACAGCAAAGGCAAAATCGTTGCTTAAAAAAAGACAGTCATCTTTAATAGTTTTTTAGGTTGGCTGCCATGATGGCACTCCCCCATTCAGGAACACTCAACGGTAGCAGTAGCATTAAATTTACATCTCATTTCGGAACGATTTTCGTAGTAATGGTACACTGGATTCACTGGAAGCAAAACATATCCATAAACTGTGATCTCTCGATTTTCGATGTTTTGTTTTATTGGTTTTAATTTTCATCATTCTTATTATTATCTTCTTTACTCACGGTGAAATTAAAGATGGGGTGATTAATAATATTAATTATCTTAGAAGACATATTATCCGATACTGATTCTGATTCATCAGAAACACCAAGCTCTAGAGTACCTACCTCTAGTTCTAGTGACGAAGACATGAAGCAAAGCTGTGAATTATTTGATATCAAAAGTCGGAATAACAACCATCTTGTAGATTAGTGGCAGTTTCAGCTCGAGTTTCAGTGGCTACTAGTCTCTGTGAGATCTTCAAATCCGACTTCATACATTTTTCCAAAGTATTTGGAAATGATAATTTATAATCTTTATCGACTCATACCTAACCATTCAAACGCTTAACCTAACTGAATACTGGCACTACATCAGCCAGTGTTGCCAGCAATGAGGAATTTGAATCACCAGATCAATGAAGCAAAAATCACCAGATTTGAAAAAAAATCACCAGAATACAGAAAATTTTAAATGTGAGAGGAAAATCATAAAACCAAAGGGTTTTCTATGAAATGATAGACATATACAAAATAGAAAAATATATTCCGGAAAAACCAGTCATTCTAATAGGTACAACAGTTTCCTCTGTTGATTCTGAATCCAGAGGGGAGTGATCTACCTCTAGGAATATTACAGAGATAAATAAACTTGAACTTCGTACAGTTTAGAAATCGTACCTTGAATATTATCGCCGCAATTCATATTCAATTATTTTTGTTCTAAATTTTGGTTTTACAATTTGAATATTAATGTAATTTCGTATTTTTTCTTTGGTTAAAACTTGTTTACTTGTTAAAAGTTCTCATTTGTAGGTTAAAACGATCATAGAACACAAAAAGTTGGTTAGAACACGACACACTAAACACAACCTGTGGGTTTGACTTATTGAATTCTGTTGGTCTATGGTGTTTATGGTTGGTGAATGGGTGAATTGAGGTTACACTTCCCTTCTTCTTTCTTTCCTTGATTTCAGTTATTCAGTTATTCACTGCTGTCAAACGTAAAAGTCTTCTTTTGTGTTGAGGGACATTTATCCTGACATTATCAAAAATCACCAGATTTGACAGTCGAATGAAAAATAATCACAAAATAACCAGATTGACATGAAAATCACCAGATCTGGTTATAAATCGCCACTACTGGCAACACTGACATCAGCATTCCTGCACCAGTAGCCAACAGTAAACTTTTTAGCAGGGTACCAGTGTGAAACTGGCAGACCAGGCCAGCGGCCAAAATTTACGAAGTTACCCGAAGGACCAGTGGAGCATCAGATATTTTTTTCAGGGTGTGAACTTGGCAGACCATTGGCAGCTGAATTTCCAAAGATCTCGAATGAACAGTGGCTTACCTCTAAAATATTTTTCTGTCTGTAAAATTATTGCAATAAGATATTATGATTCCTATTCACATAACAATTATTACAGTTATTGTGGAATAAACATATATTTATGAACACCTAGCGAATATACAAGTATTTACTTAATATTTTCTCCTTGACAAAAGTATGTGGTGGTGTAACACAACGCATTATTAATTGAGAAAAATGATGGAAACGCATTAATTCCTTCTGAAGAATATGATTTCTACCAGGAATAATTACTATATATACCTCTGCCTGCTGAGTATTTTTTTTCGATGCAGCACGCTCAACTACAAAATTAATTTCTGAGGCTCAGCACAGGACTGCCGCGATCAAACATGATAGAAGGCTTTATTTTCATCCAAAGAATGATACCTACCAGGAATAATCACTACCTCTGCCTGCTGAGTATTTTTTTTTCGATGCACCACCCTCGAACTTCAAGATTCATTTCTGAGTCTCTGCACAGGACTGCAAACAACACGACATTGCATATTCACAGAACACGTCTTTGGAAGAACGTCATAAAGCGGATTTGGTGTTGGAGAACGCTGCCTGGGAACGTGTGAGGTCGAGAGACGCCAAGTTCGGTGAAAGAGCTGCAGCATTAGTAGTTACTTCCGGGATTAAGGTGAAACGCAAACTCGGGATGGGATGTTCTTTCAAAAAACATATCGTGGGAAAAATCGGGAAGACGTTGAAGAAGAATCCCTCGACCAATTTGAAACAGGCTGCATCGTTTTCTTTGAATGCTGCTAGGCATGCCGTTAAACAAGCAGGTGGAAAGAAAAAAGTTAGAATACCACGAATAATTCCTTTCGATGCCAAATCCGGTGGGATTCTACCACTGCTACCAATCTTTGCTGCTCTCGGTGCACTAGGATCTCTAGCTGGAGGTGCTGAAGCAATCGCAAAGACTGTCATTGACGCTAGGAATGCGAAGAAGAAGATGGAAGAAGACCATCGACATAACAAGGCTATGGAAACTATTGGTAAAGGACTGTACTTGAGAAGAAACGCCAAAGGAGGTTTCGGCTTGTTTTTGAAAAAGCAAAAAAACTTCCGATGAAGCTACCCAATCGACCGTTGTCGAGTTGACAAAGTATGTTAAATATTTGAGAATCCCACATTTTCGGGGTGTTTTCATGCGTGGACCCCGTCAACGCGAATCTGCAATCCTAAACTTGGACGTGTCAAAGAACCAAGGCACTCATTGGGTAGCTTACAGAAAGATAAATGATGTCGTCGAGTATTTCGATTCACTCGGTAGCCTAAAGCCACCGAAAGAACTTGTCCAATATTTGGGCAAAGTCAAACTCTATTACAATAACGACCCATTCCAGAAATATAATCAACTCAACTGTGGTCATCTCTGTCTGTAGTTCCTGTACAATGGAAGCCGTTTTAGCATATCTCCACCGTGAGAAGGCGTTGCAAGACTTTTCCGCAGAAGAATTGGCACTCATCCCCATCAACTATCTGATCCAACATGTTAGACCTTGGGAACTATTGGATGTTTGGCATAAATTACCACAGGACTATAGGAAGAACTTTGATCTGAGAATTCGTTTGCCTTGTTACATCCACTATAATAGACCTGATGCTCGAACCCACGTTGATGGACCGGTCAGCTCACAGTTTGAATGTCATGGTTGTAATTATTTCTTGAAGTGTAGAGTTGTCTTGGAATAAATATTCATAACTATAGCTGTTTGTCATTAGGTACCTACGTCAGGTCTCTACTGTTGACCTTGACGAGTACCACCAACCAGTTCTCTTTCACACCCTCCTCACCGATACTACTGCACCCTCTGAAAAGCTATTACATAGCTGTACTAGGATTCCACACCTATCATTCCATACCGAATATTGATGGTGAAAAGTTCTACTACTACGAGAACGATAATCGTGAAGTGCTGAAAGAGATTCAGTTTCCGACCGGCTGTTATGAGATAGAAAATATTGAGGATTACATTCGGAGACAAATTCAAGAAGCTGATGCAGATTTCACTTTGAAGCCCAACAACAATACTTTGAAGTGTGAAATCTATAGTCGACAACATACCATCAGTTTTGAAGAAGATAACAGCTTTGGTGAGTTGTTGGGATTCTCGAAGAGGATCTTGGAACCTGGCCAAGTTCACTGTTCAGATCATCCTGTGAACATTCTGAAAGTATCAAGCCTACATTTCGATTGCAACATCACTGAAGGGTCGTTTTATGCAGACAGGCCTGCTCACACTATATTAAGCTTCCCCATCACCGTAGATCCTGGTTACGCTATCAACGAACGTCCAAATACCCCTCTCTATTTACCTGTGAGAAGTAGCCTCAGAGACATCACTAACATTACCGTTAGAGTGCTGGATCAGGACCTAAGACCTGTTAATTTTCGAGGAGAAAAGGGCACCCTACACTTGGACTTCCAAGAACGTTGAATGAGTCTAGTAGTTGATAATAAAAGACTAACCACAAACTCCTCAGTATCAACGCGACCTCCTAAGAGACAGGAGCTCACTCCAGAAAACGTTCTCTTTCTGCAAGCAATCGGATTACGAATGAAAAATGAACAAGCGCAAGTATATTCGTTCGGAAGAATCAACAGAACCAACATCCAACCAGACAAAACCAATTTTTGATCTGTATCGTCGGCCCAGATATGATGAAACCATTCGAAAAGAAGAATATCGCTCTTACATCCCATACGTCAAATCCTTCAATAACAATGATATGGTGGAAATCAACATAAATCAAGCAGACACATTTTTTGCAATGCATGAGTCTTTGCTGGAAATCAAAGGAACGTTGAATGTGCAAGGAGCTGGAAATGTGTACTTGGCCCCCAATTGTGGAGCATTTCTATTCGATTCTTGCAGTTATGTGCAGAGTGCAAGAGAGATAGAAGTAGTCAGAGATCCAGGGATCGTGAGTAGTGTGCGAGGATTCATGTGCTATAAACCTGATGATTCCAAACACTTATCCTCAGCCGGATGGACGTATCCTGATAAACCGCTTTTGAATGCAATTGACAAGACATTCAGTTTGTTGATACCACTAAAGCACCTGTTCAACGTTTTCAATGACTACACCTCAATCACCTATGGAAAACAAACAATCCCACTGATTCGAGCTCGTAATGATAACGATTGCGCGATAGTACAGGAACTCCCCAATGGACCTACAACCACTATTACTACTACAGTTGAAGTACAAATACATAGTGTAGTGCTAAAAGTTGAAGCACGTATTTCCGAACGATGAAATCAAACTAAACTGATGCAACCCATTAAAAATGATACACCTATACTGATTCCATTCAGGAAATGGGACCTCAGCCAATTGCCTGCTCTTACAAACGGCGCAAAAAGTGAAATTTGGGCAGTCAAAACGAGCGCTTCGGTGGAACGTCCTCGGTACGTTATTGTGTGCTTCCAGAAATCTAAACGTGACGATGCAGAAGCTGGTGCTACCCACTTTGATAACACGAGCATAGTTAGTATCAGATTAGCCCTTAATGGTGAATATTGGCCTAATGAGAGAATGCAGCTGGATTTCGCTAAACAAGACTACACCCTTGCTTACTACAACTATACCAGGTTCTATTCGAGCTATTCACATTCGACGGAGGTTCACCCAATCTTGGATTATGGGGAATTCAAACAGCATGCATTATTTGTGATTGATTGCTCGAGGCAGGAAGAGACCATGAAATCATCGACAGTTGATATAAAGCTGGAAATCGAAGCCGATAAAGGATTCCCTGCTGACACCAAAGCCTATTGCATCATCGTACATGACTGCCTGCTAGAGTACTTCCCTCTAACGGAAGTCGTCAGAACCTTGATTTGAGTATAAATACCAACTGCAAACTGCCCCTCTAACGGAAGTCGTCAGAACCTTGATTTGAGTATAAATACCAACTGCAAACTGCTCGAGCTCGCATTCGATCGTCAGCCGTCATGCGGATCGCACTTGTCGACATTCAAGGCTTCACTCTTGACAGTGTTTTCCACCCGAAAGAGCTGACCATTCAAATTGGCCGCCAGAGATCCAACTTCCTATTCAAACTGCCTACACCGTTTGCTACCATTAGTGGACGTGACAAGAAAACTACACGTTATGTGGAGAAATTCGTCCATCGAATACCATATGATGCTGGTGATGTTGAATATACGGAGCTGAACGACATTCTGGAAAAATATCTGTTGCATTCGGTCGAATGTATGTATGTGAGGGGCAATCAGAAAGCTGACTTTTTGAAGACGAAATGTGAAGAACTTGAAGTATTCCCAACTGTATACGATGTTGCTTTGTATGATGGAACACCCTGTTCCAGTAAAACCTACCAGCAAACTATATCGTACTGCCCCAACCACGCCAATGGAAAATATATGTGTGTCCAGCAGAAAGTTGATCAACTTTACCAGTGGTTTATAAATGTGATATTACCTAAATGAAGATGTACTGTGTTTGGCTCAATAAACATTATGATAAGGTTTGGAGTTTTATTGAAACACCTTGTATAAGTTCCATCATTTTATTCACGATATATGTACTTTTTAACAGCTTTCATTAGGTGTTTCACAATCAGAATGAACGTAGCTGCTAATGTCAAACCTAGTAATATGAACATTTCATTAAATTCATTCTGTATTCCTGTTGTGGGGGCTTCTATAGTTTGCCAGTTGGTATCCTCTTCAGATCCACCGAAACACATCAACTTGAGTTTGAAGAAGGAATTATTCCTCTCTGGTATCCCTTTGTAGAATACTGGTAGACATCCATTGTTCACCAACTTATTTCGCATCGCTGTCCACGATGATCGATTGCAATCTTCTTTCAAGTCATTGAAACATATCGCCATGTTCTTGACATCGTTGGGAACATTTGTATACAATACGTTATTCAAAATTGCTGTCAGAAATACGAATGCCACCCGTGACATTTTGAGGCTGGATGTGTCGTCTCTGCTCAACAGGCACCTCTACTGCTGGTACTCTTCCACAGCTGCTGAATACTTTATCCCACAAACTCAGATTCTCCAATTGAATCAACGCTTTGGTTTTGTCTTCGTACAATGTTATGTCTGTGTTCAGCTGTCGAACTCGCTCCCCAAATTCCTCCAACTTGCTTCTGTACTCGTCTAAGGACATTGTAACTTGAAACACTGATTCAAAGGTCAAGTCTGAATAGTGGTAGTGGTAGCTGCGCATGCGCACAGCTAATATAAGCTATTGGGGGATTCAGCAAACGTTCTTTGAGACACATCCAGTATCCATGATTGAATGGCTCGTGACAACAACAAGTTTGAACATGTCTGTTGGATGACTTATCGGCCACCTGCGTCAGAACAATGGACCCATTGTTCTCACACAGATAAGGATGATGCAATCGGATGAGGTTGTTACGTAATCGGACACCTGCAAACAAAGGCGGCATTGTTCTCGTATAATATTGCGTCGCGAATTATCCAATAGCCGGAATTCCAAGAAACGCTGACAGTGGCATAGAGAGAACAAAGGCGGCATTGTTCTAGGGGAAGTCTAGATAACATATGGCAAACAAAGGAGGCATTGTTCTATGAAGTCGAGATAAGGATGACTCATCGACCACCTGCAACATGCATATCGGGTGACCTTGAAACAAAGTGCTACCGATTGTAGTAATACCAACCTAAATCTGGTGAGCACAGTCACTAGATTGTGACGTCATCCACCACCTTTCAAGAAGAATAATGGATATGTCCTAGAACACGCCCATAAGCACTAGTGTCTAGAGTCCGGAGTCTATGGGGCTAAGTTCAGAGTACTTCTACGTGTCATCTGTCATTCCTTGTGTTCCATGTCATCTGTCACTTGTCATATCGCTTCTTGTGTTCCATGCCATCTGTCACTCCTAGTGTTCCGTGTAATCTGTCACTTGTCATCTGTCATTCTTTGTGTTCCATGCCATCTGTCACCCCTTGTGCTCCATGTCACCTGCCACTCCTTGTGTTCCATGTCACCTGTCACTTGTCATCTGTCACTATTTGTGGTCCATGCCATCTGTCACTTGTCATCTGTCACTTGTCATCTATCATCTGTCACTTGTCATCTGTTACTTCCGGCGGCCATCTTGTGACGTCACTTCCGTGCAGCCAACACCTTCTACCACAGGAGCGGTTGTGACGTCACTTCCGGCGGTGGCCATCTTGGGCTGGTAAACAGGTAGGTACACTACTAGACAAGTTGGCGAAATTACATTTTCGTGTCTTAACTATTATTTTTCAAATGGCGACCATTTTTCGACAAGCACTTTCCGAAAAAAGGATATTTTGACGAATCTAACTATACTCATTTATTTGCGATTGGATTACAAATAAGAACATGAATATCAAATTATATAAAGATATTTCAACTTACACAGCAAACTTCACTTACTCACGAGAAACTTGTTCAAAATTATTTCAATACTCATATTTTCACCAAACGAGTCGCTTCTATTTTGTGTTCTCGAATCTAGGATATCCATCTGGTTATACAGGGTGATTCATTGGGAAATGCGCAAAGAGTGAGGGTTGACGGAGGACACCGAGGTGCTTCTAAATAATATATATTTCATGGGTCTATCATTCTTCGTAGCTGAGATACAGGGTGATTTATCCATTTTCTATTTTTTTTAATTAATCATAACTTATGAACCACCCTATAAATTTTTGTGATATTTGATGGACATGTTCTTTGTCCACAGATGTGACGATTGACATAATAAGATGAAGTTTCATTCCAGGACCGGCCTTAAAAAAATTAATAAGTAGGTTTCGAGTCGAAACAACACCCTGTATATCAATATTTTGGACTTTCATTCACAAATTTGGAAAGAGCAGGTAAAAATAAGTCCGGCTGAATGTATTTTGTGTTTTCGCATACAAATTTTATACCTATTAACCTGAGTCAAATCTAGATGTTTCGATAATGAGGTGGCACAAAATTGAAAAAAAAAATTAATTGTCGTCCCCAAATGGTACTTTTCCATTTTCGAACCATGAAATCATCAACTATATCTTACTCTCCTGATTTTTGGATCCCAACCTAATTGGAAAACGAGAGGACAGGACAAGAAAATTGTCATAACATTTGTTTATTGCCCTACATTTGAAACAAAAATTATCATGGAAATGAAGAACAATGCCCATTCCGGAAAAAGCATAATTACTTTCGAACAAAAATGTCGTTGCAACAAATTGTATCGAGTTAAACAAATACAATAAGATACAAAGAAAATTGAACAACATAACTTATAACAGTTGTTCGAAGTTGATACCATTGAAATAGGAAATAGCAAATTTCTACGAGTAATTTTCTCTACTAAACACTTATCTAAAAATAACAAAGTTGGTTTAACCTCTTACTATCGGCCCCCCGCAACCAATGTCTTAGATTATCTGAATGACTTAGAAACGTACTTACAATTGATTGAAAAACAAAATTTAGAAATCTACTTAGGTGACATTAACATAAACCTCCTGAAAACAGAATTGCATGAAACAAATAGTTACCTAAATATACTAAATGAACAAGGTTTCGAATCATATATAAACAAACCCACCAGAGTTACCCCCACTTCCAATTCATGCATTGATCATATCTTCATCCGAAAAAACAAACAATTAAAAAACGAAATACACATTGATCCGATCATCTTTCATACTGACATCACTGATCACTTCACAACTTTTGTAAACCTGTCATTCACCTGTGACAATATCACTGCTCAAGAAGAAAATAAAGAAACTTTTAAAATCCCGCACTATGGAAAAATAAATAATCTGTTGAAGAAAGAACATTGGAATGATGTCCTTGAAATAAACGACGCCCAAGGTGCATACGACAAGTTTATAGAAAAATTAAACAAATATATTGAGAGAGGTTCAGAAGTAAAAAATAAAACAAAAAAATACAGAAAACTGAAGCCTTGGATAACAACGGCTTTGATAGTCTCAATCTACGAAAGGGACTCGCTGAAAAAAAAAAAGTCAAATAAAAACCGTACACTAGAACAGGAAAGATATTACAAAGAGTATAGGAATAAACTGAATTCACTATTAAAAATAACCAAAAATAATTACTATAAAGAAAAAATGCATGAAGCAGAAAACAGTTGTAAAAAAATCTGGAACATAATAAATGATATAACAGGAAGCAATTCAAAAATCCATGTTTCAAACACGGATATTCAAAGCGAACAAGGCATTACGGAGCAGGACAACACCGAAAAATCTAATTTATTCAATACCTTTTTTATAAATTTGGGAATTAATATGGCCAACAAAATCGAAAATACACAATTACCAGAGGATTTCTTAGAAGAAAAAGCAGTACAAGCATCACTATTCCTGGACTCAGTGGGGATAAACGAAATAATTGTGTTGATATCAAACTCAAAAAACAATTGCTCTCCTGGTCCAGATCGAATAAACACTAAACTAATTAAACACATCCACACAAAAATCGCATCTCCTATAGCCCATATCATAAACCTTTGTTTCGCGAGTGGAAAGATCCCACTACAATGGAAGGAGACAGTAGTTACTCCTGTATTTAAGGCCGGGGACAGCTCTCAATTAACAAATTACCGTCCTATCTCGACCATGAATAACTTTGGTAAATTATTTGAGCAATCATTAAAGCACAGGTTACAAAGTTTTCTGAGCAAACACCAAATACTCACTGCAGATCAATATGGTTTTATTAAAAACTCTTGCACAGAAGATGCAGCAATGAGTCTGCTGAGGGAGGTGTCGGGGGCCCTTGATGGGTCGAGGAAGTGCCTTGCAGTTTTTCTCGACCTCGCAAAGGCTTTCGACACAG